TAAGAAGTAGAATTGTTCGAAAGGATAAGCTCTTACTATTTATAAAGAAGTTTTGACGCGCTCTATCAGTTTGGTTAGGAGATGAGATCGTGAATATATCGGGAGAGTTCATATTGTCCTTTTGATCTTAGTGAGCAAACATATACTTTTGTAGGTTTCGTGGTCGATCGCCGTCTCTCGAACATCTGGATGTTTCAGGTGAGTTCAGATTTGGATGATAACGCGTTTCACGACTTCTTGATGAAGTCATTAGTTGCTTTCTAGTTAATTTTTTCGTGCTCTAACTCATTAGTCGATGAAAATGTTCGTTTCAGCTCCTCTTTCTTCATTAATCACAAATCATGAAGCCCTTGCTGCTGCCGCAGTTGGTTTCGTTGGATGGGAAAATGTGAAGTCAATGCTCCCTCCATGTTTGCAGGTTGAGTTTTTCTCATCAAATTTACTGTCTCCCGCTTTTTTTCTTCAAGATGAGCTATGAGCGCAGTCTAAATTTCCTTCACTTATTACTGAAGAAATAATGCTCTACCTCTTCAGTGACTTTGGACGCACCGATGGACCTTTGATAGTTTGCTCATGATGCTTGAGAATTTGATCCTTTGAAAACGGTGTGTACAGTGTACTGTGCACGCGTATTCATAGGTTTTTTGCTGTTTAGAGCTTCCTCACTGCACTTTTTGAAATCATTCCATAGTTTGAGATGTCACAATTTTCTACTGTTGGTCTCTGTATAGACCTACCTTTTACTCCGTAGCATCGAAAACAAAGCTATAGTTCACCTTCGGTTTTCGTCATGTTCTCCGTGCTAAACGTCCTACTTTCACATGAAGTAAGGTGGATGTCATTCCATCGTTCGTCCCATCGGTTCTACCTGCTGAGATCCAACTACCTATCAGGTTGCAAAACCATGCTGAAACCGCAGGTTTACAATTTGCTTCAAATGGCGGGAATAGTGGAATGGTCAACGTTGAGTTCTTTTGCAACATCTCCTTGTAGTGTCAAGAAAATCAGCTTCGATTATCGCTTTTCTCACTTTTTGTGATGAGATTGGTACAAAGTAATAGCGGCTTATATATCGTTAAAAAGATTCTCCTTTATGAAATTTCTTGAACTAATACTGGCGGTGTACGTTCGTAGCAATTTCTGGGTCAAATGGGTTGCTAGTGTTGTGAGTTTTCTCTGCTGCTTTACGACCCATTATGAATTCGCGATCTGAACCTGCAGTTACTTTAGGACCGACGGATATTTTCTTTACATGTAGCGAGCCTTTTAGTCGACTATTTTGAGACGTCGCTCAAGAACAGTGTAATATGGCAATGTATTCTGAGCCTTTCATGAGGTTTGTTACGTTTCTAGGAACTAGGAAGTGACTAAATAAAAAGGCACCGTGCAACTGACGAAGCTTTAAAGCCGAAACTTCTGTCTTGCACTGTATAGGTGCCCATAACAGACCTCTTAAAAGGCTCAAAATACATGTTAGAGTTTCCCATTTCTTGCATAGATATATAATTAACAGCTATAATACGTTATCATAAACAAAATAAGCGGGAAATACACATAGAAAAAATTACGTAATCACATTTATTCAGGAATATATTCCAATACCAAAAGCAGATCTCAACTAGACATAATCCGCATTTACTATCCTATAATTAAGAAAAAAAATCACGTTCAAGAAATCATACCTGGAGGAATTTTTTCGTATGTAGCCCAAATAGCCTTGATACAGTTAGCAATCTTTAATTGAGAAATACTTCTCCGAAAAAGATCTATATTTCTAACCCTGATCGAGTATTTTTGCCCCAGAGTATGTTGGTCATTTGAAGAGGTGGAAACTTGTCGAGGTAGAAGAGATCATCTCGAGTGCATATTAAAACGCTTTATGGAACGCCACAGTCAGGCTATCCTCGAGACTGCAAAGAAACTCTGTATTGGAATCTGCACAGAAAAAAACATTGTGAAGATGGATCGAAAAAGTGTCAGGGATGGATCAATAAAGTGTCAAAATGAAGATATGTATGTACGTCAGATCTGTGTTCACCTTCGAAAGTACCAATTATTGTTGCTCATGTTGTGATATGTGGGTCCTCTTATTTTCAATATGCTGAGGTAATAAGGTGGTGGCTGTTAGTCTCCATCAGTATGAGTTATGATCAAAACCAGCCGTGTTTTAGGGTCGTTCCAAGGATGATGTAATCTTACTTGTCGCCGACGAAGTCGATTGCATGTCGAGAAGACGTATTTCTCGTATTTTGGAAGGTATGTCTACAGAATTAGAATACTTTAGCTGGATAGACGTACATATAGACGAAGGCTGGCATTCACCATAGAAAATAACCTTCGAGATCTTTTTGACCCTCAGCAACGTCACGTACAGTAGGACATCGTCCTAGAAACGATTCAACAGTTTCAAGTGCCGTTTATCGACGAGATTTCCTGGTGTAGTTGAAGTCTCCTAATATTACTAGGTCAAAAGTTCCTTAACACCCACAGAAACTTTCAATTTTGAATATGTCTTGTTTCGAACTTGTTCTAAATGGTCACGCCATCAATGCTGATCTCTAATGCAAGCAGCTGGACCGGGTCTACGGTGCGTTGGAGGGAAAGTATCTGACACTGATTCATCGAATGCGCGCTTTCTTGACAAGACAATGACAAACTCCACACTGTAAGGAAGAGTAAGGAAAAGTTTAACGAATTGAGGTAGTCAAGGTTTTGCCGCACCCAGCCTACAGTCCAGTTGCTGCGCCGTCGATTCGATGGCCTCTCCGCTCAGTAGAACATTTTTTGCGTGGATGGCGGTAGGAGATATTTGATCATGTTGAAGAGGCATGTCAGGGATTTTTTGATTCACAGCCCATAGAATGGTATTTCGAGCAGATCCGGACGCTTGCAGATCGTTGGGAGAAAATCGTGAATAATGATGATCTTCATTCTGAAGAGTAATCATTGTCGTTTTCAATTGAACTTATATATAAGTTTTGATTTCCAGCGGATGTTAAGGAACTTTTCCTTCAACCTAATAGTAACTTTAAGTTTTGGTTGGTGTAGTCGTTGAGAGTTTCTTGGTGAGTTTCAGGCGAGACTGCGCTATCTGATAGTTCTTCATCAGAAGAATCTGGGGACGAAAGTGGTTCATATGTGAATCTTGAGCGACAACAACATAATCTCCTTGGTATTTTTTCCAGTTTAGCATATCTGCGATTGACCATGTGGTTTGATGATTCCACATGGTGATGTTCATTGTCCAACAATTTCAGAATCGTATGAGCAAGTTCCCTTGGAGTCTAGTGGCTCTCCTGTCCATCACAGTTCGCGGTCATCTCATTCTGAGGTAGTTTTTCTTCTTCTCATGAAACAGAGTGGGCCTTGGATATTCCTACGATGAAGTTTCTGTTTTTGCAGAACACCAAAGTGTTGTAATGTTAAGGTCGACGATAATAAAGGAGAGCGAGAATACTGTTCCGATATAGAGCTTGTTGAAGGACTTGACGAAGAGGTGGACAGTCTGCCGGATGTCAGTAGAACATGAAAGATTTACACGTCTTATTTTACCGCGTAGTAGTGAAAAATGAAAGAAGAATCTGATCTTTTACAATGATTTTCCCTTATCTCTGCCATCTGCCTTCTGATTTCACTTCATATTCAAACATTCCTCCGATGATTCTTTTCAATAGGGTTTATATAATCGGTGCTAGATTATGTTCAGCTTGAATTCATTTGAATATTGTCTAAATAAAACAGCATAAAGACGTCGAAGTACTTTTGCTGACTAATACGATGATATTTCTTTATTTTCTACTCAGAAAATGACAGCAATTCAATGTGTGCAAAAGATTTGGAAGAGGTTTTATGCTTGTTCCATACGGCTGTTTGCATCGCCGAAGTCGAAAACGAAGCTAGTGAACTTAGTTTTATCAAGAGACGTTGGAATTTATCGGATCTTCGACACATGATGTCGGGATTCGCCGTAATGAATACTGCAAAGTTATTCAACAAGTATACAATGTTCACATTGTTGCTATACAATAATCCATCATCTCACTTGTATCGACCCGGTGCCAACAACGTCTACGCTTGTCGCTGTTGCGTTCAGCAGAAGGTGGATTGGCTTTGCTTGGTCTACGAGCCTGAAAGTATCACCATAGTAAGTACCGTCCGTGACAAGTGTTTGCTTGAGACAACGCTCTGATTTCAATATGCCTGATCGTTTTTTCCAGCCATTCATGTGAATGTGAATGAAAATGTGCGGCCGCGTATGTGAAGTGTGATTTTTGTACTTTGACTAGAAATTGTTTCTCCGATTGCGAAGAGACTGCAGATCAATTGACTGATTCTGATACTAGGAGATTTTCTCTGCACGGTCATGTGCTTTTCGTGCTTCTAACAATTGTAGCAGTTGATTTGCGCCGGCGATGTGAAACATAATTTTGTTTTGAATTTTATAGAGTTCTTAAAGGGTCTTCTCTAGAAACCGGCCACGCACAGCGCTAGCCAAAGATTTACGCTTTCGAATGATAACTAACACTCTCGATGAAAACTTCTTGTCGAGCGTAGGAGATTGGAGGCTTGAAAATCTGTGGATACCAAACGGAAAAGAGCTGCTTTTTTCGCCTCCTCTACTACAATCATAGCGGTTTTATGGGCCTTCTGATCAGCAACCTGCCTACTTTCCAAACTCGTCTATTAAGTTGAGTTCTTGATCCAGATACACATGACTGTGGTAATCAGAGATATTGTCCCTTCGAGCGATGATAGGGAGGGCATCAGAGGAAAGTCCTTTTTCAGAACATCGTCCTTCCGGATAATTTTCCGTTAGACTCACCCCTTTTTTCAGGCGCTTGGAAAAAACCTAGCTTATCCTTTTCAGGTAATTCTATCTGATAGCGAAAATCTCGAAAGATTTCAGCAACGAATTTGAAATCATCATTTATTTGACCGCCGATTGCGGTGTTATGATGTTTAGATAAACCCAATGATGTAGAGTGGTGTGCAAAAACGTTTGCGTCAGCCGGGATTTGAACCCAGATTCTCACTCTTTACACGAGCATGTGCTAAATCGTTGCACCACCGACGCTCGCAAAAAGTCAGATCTGGGTTCAAATCCCGGCTGACGCAAACGTTTTTGCACACCACTCTAGATCATAGGGTTTATCTAAACAATGAATTTGGTTTTTTGAAAAAGACATCTTTATGTTCGATAGCGATAGAAATAAAATCACGCTACATATTTAAGCAATTTTCGCTGGGCAGAACTTTCCCGTCTGAACTTTCAATGGTCAATCGATAGTGTCGATCAAAACAAATCAATAGAATGATCGATAATCAATCGATATAGTCGATGAGAAGATCACCGTTGAAGTTAGTAGTTGCCCAAAACTCTTAACTTTTATTCTTTTAGCATTTTCTTTGAACCGTCATCACACTCCGAAATCACTTTATTTGACCGCCTAGTGCAATGTTATAATGTTACTATAAACCAAATGATGATGTAGAGTGGCGTGCAAAAACATTTGCGTCAGCCGGGATTTGAACCCAGATCCTACTCTTTCCGCGAGCATGTGCTAAACCGTTGCACCACCAACGCTCGTTTCGCTTTCGTCATCACACTGTTTTTTTCACTGTGCGGATCCGAGTACTTCTAGCATTCAATTCCTTTCTCATCTCTCCTTGAACGAGTCTTCTTGCGCAATCTAGAGGATAGCCTGGCTGGTGGCGTTGTTGTTGACTGCCGGAGAGAGTTGTGGGGAAGGGGATGGAACTCAACTCCACGCGCGCGGCGACGAGCACCACAACCACTGGGCTACGGCGCACCCGGAAAAAAAACCTTGTAACGAAAAACAAACTACCGTACTTGAGGGCACAAAATTTAAAAGTGGCGTAGGAGCGCGTTTGTTGTGCTTTCTGACGTAAGCTTTCGCAGACATTGCTCATCATTTTCCTTCTCTTCCTCCTCTATTTTGTTCCCTTTCTTTTCTTCCCATTTTTCTTTTTCTCTCCTCCTTCCCCTTTTTCACTCTCCTTTTCTTTTCCGTCTTTTTTCTTCTGCAATTTACATCTATTTATATCTGTATTTTATGAACCCAATGATGTAGAGTGGTGTGCAAAAACGTTTGCGTCAGCCAGGATTTGAACCCAGATCTTACTCTTTCCGGAAGCATATGCTAAACCGTTGCACGTCTGTAATTTATTTCTTTTTTAATCTCCTATTATTCTTTCCACAGTCTTAGCATGTTCCATAGTTTTCTGATTGTTATGATGTTTTCTATATTTCTAAGAGAATTGAGTGGTGAGCAAAAACGCGGCCTCAGGCGGGATTCGAACCCGCGTTTCATCTTATCCGGGGACGCGTGCTCTACCACTACACTACTGAGGAACATTTGCTCGACCACTCATTCTTCAACATCTCAATGATAGCTATCAGCCACCAACCTTTGACAGGTTTGGTCGGGTTTGCAATTTCGCTTTATAAATCCCGTTAAGCTGACAGCTATTCTAATTACTGATACTCGAAATTGAAAGTATTTTTAATGCATTTCGCACTGTTATGATGTTTTTATGAGTTACTCTTTTTATGAGTTAGGAGTTATCCTATCCGGTGTGATGTTATGAGTTTTTCTGATTCTCAATACTCCAGTCGCTTTGAGAATTGGTGGCTTATGATCTCATTTATTGCTGCTTTTCAGATATCAGCGGCTGCGTATTGTCAGTGGATTAGTTTACGACGAGCATGGAGATTTCTAAGGAATTGGAGGAACACCGAAGGACATTCGCCGCCACGTTACGCAAAAAGCAAGTCTCTGATTGGTTCCTATTTTCTGCTGTAAGTCGCCTTCCTTCCCGGCACAGGAAATCTTATGGATTTGGCGTACTTGTCCATCCACCTGTCACACCTGTCGTCCCGTTGATCGTCGAGCGACTCGAGCGGGTACCAGCAACACTTCCATCTTTCCCTTCGGCGTGCAGGAGTAGTCCAGTGGGTCTTCCTCGCTCTAGGGATCCGCTGAGAATCATATTCATATCTCAAGATAATTTCAAAAAAGAATGCTTTTAGCCTAAACGAAGTTGGTACGCCAGGGCCATACACCGGTGTTTCGGAGATTCGTCCTCCTCGTCAGTGACCCCCGCCCCCCATTAAGCCCTGCATTGTAGCAACGAGGGAGGCGTATGTGGTATGTGGTGATGGCATACTGTACAATAACACTGGTCCATCACCACTTTCAGTCGATTTATTTGGCTGGTAGACCAAAATCAATCCATGTGATCGACTGTTTTTAAAACCTCGTAATGAACATTCAAAATAATTCCAAAAAAAAAAGAATGTTTTTAGCCTAAACGAAGTTGGTACGGCGTACAGTCTCCTTGCTACAGTGCAGGGCTTAATGTGGGGCGGGGGTCACTGACGAGGAGGCCGAAACCTCCGGAACACCGATGTATAACCCTGGCGTACCAACCTCGTTTAGGCTTAAAGCATTCTTTTTTGAAATTATTTTGAATGTTTTTTTGCGAGGTTTAAAAAACAGTCGATCTGATGAATCATATTCAAATCGCTCATAGATTGGAAGAGTCAAATTAAGCGCTCATTGGTCGCCTTCACGTTAGAGCTCTGAAGTTTTGAAAGCCGAAGGTCTGAAAACTACCAAGAGGCTTTTGTCATCAGAAACACCTGACTTGTCACACCAATGTGGAATCGCACTGGCCTTAGGCAGCCGATAACTTGCTTCCGAAAATGCAAAACTCTGCAGAAAAGCGACAAAAATTTTTAGAGAGAGAGAGAAGAACAATAATTACGGCGGAAGCCAGAAAAAGCAATTGCGAAGCTCACCGTTTATTACATCAAGATGATTGCACTCCAACGCCCTGGCGGAACAGTTACAGCTTCCAAGAAAGCGACAGACAAAACCATCCACCACCTACGTCCACTTACCGTCACAGAAATAACGGGAATAAACTTGTCTTTTCATCACCTGTGTCACCTGTCGTCCCGTTGACCGTCGAGTGATTCGAGCGAGTGCCAGCAACACTTCCATTTTTTCCCCACGCGTGCCAGAGTAGCCCAGTGGGTAGGGTCCTCGTCTAGGGATTCGCTGAGCATCATGTCTTTCTTCTAGAGCTTTTGTGAAGAAACCACGGACCAAGGGTCGGTGGTCTTGTCCATTATGAGGCGACAAGTGCAAAACCTATCTCGTTCGCTGGACAGGAACTCTTCATGGAAGTGTTAGTGATCATTCTCAAGCTGAGATTGCTGGCTACAGCCCCACGTCGCCAATTTCGAAAAGACCCTTTTATAATGCTGTAATATTCAAACAAAACTGTATCTCAGACGTGCATATTTATTGCCGGACAGATCTCTTTCCTTGGACTATTAGTAATCATTCGATAGCGCTATCGTTGCTGATTCCAACGCTGTGCTTATTTTCTGGAAAGAGCGTTTCTCCGCAGTGAAACAGAGAAAAGAAGTTGAATTCACATATGCGAACAAAAGAGGTGCCTTTGGCCAATTCGCGTGCCGCTGGCTAAGGCGGCACATGCGCTGACATGGTATTATCGATTTTCGAGAAGATGAACGACGTGTAGAGAAGCACTGCGTCAGCTGTTCACGTGGCTGTCCCACTTTGCCGCACGTGGACTGCCCAAAGAGCCCTTCGTGCGCACATGTGAATATAACTTATTTCCCCTGTTGCATTGCATAGAAACGGTCTTTTCAGAAAATACGCGCAGCGATGGAATTACGAATCATGACGCTCTCGAATGATTACTAATAGTCCCAGAGAACGGCTCTGTCCGGCATGCGCGTATGGGACGCGAGGAATTTCCTTCTGTAACAACGTCAAAAAAAGATTTTATCGAAAACCGCCCAATGGTGCTCTAGCCAGAGCTCTAAGCTTTCGAATGACTGTTAATTCTCTTATGAAAAGTTTCTGTCAAGCGAATGAGTTTGCTTATTCATTTGTCGCCTCAGAATGAAAAGGTAGCGGATGTAGATCTGACCTGTCCTTTTGAGGACCATGAAGGTCCTTTTGGTGCTCAGCGCGCGGCGTCAAGTCTAACTCAGTGCTGTAGTGGCAGCGCATCTCGTGGGAAGCAGGCAGACTGCCAAACATGCGTGCACAGACATGCAGATGCCACCTTTGTTACTGCCGCGCAAGCGACGGCACCGCGCCACCTGCCTACCCACGCCGGTCCTCAATGGGCTATATCGAATTTCTATTTTTATCGCTTAAAGCAGTGGGATGGTGTTTGAATATACATTGTGGAGATTGAGTGGTATACATACATTTAACCTTAGGCGGAAGTTGAACCCGCGTCATACCATACCGAAGGCTTGTCTAACCGCCACACCACCGAGGCCATCGCCTTGCAACCATTTTTTCTTCGATATGAACTATTGCGCTTTTGGTATGAGCTGAACGTGGGTTCAGCGACCGCCTGAGGTTGATTTTTGTAAATCACTCAATTTTTTGAGACGTAGCTTTGATCATCGCGGTTACTGGAAGTGGAAGCGTACATATTAGAATAGGTCTAAATAAGGACTTTTCATTTCAGGGCTTTTAGCGGTGCTATGATGTTATCAATATATCCAATGATGTCGAATGATATGCAAGACTTTGACGTCAAGCGAGATTCGAACCAGCACCTCACTTTCCGCGGGCCGCATTCTTAACCGGTTCCACTACCGACCCCTGCTTTGTCACTAATCTTTCAGCGCTGCAACCCATCAATCTGTCACTAATTGACCCTCAACGGTTTGGCCAGGTAGTCGATATCAACATTCAGCCCACCAACGCCGACAAATGGAGGTGGGTGCAACTGGTTAACCACACGCCCCTGGAAAAGGTGACTAGGGGTTCGAGTCCCGCCTGATGTCAAAGTTTTGCATATCACCTAACATCGTTTGGGTATTTATAAAAGCTTATGGACTGTCAAAATTTCTTCATAATCTTCTTCCTACCTCCCCACAAAGCTAGAATAAAGTTTGATAAAGAGTTGTTTGTGCAATCAAAACAATGGAATATTGAAATACTAGGTCTCCGAAAGAGAGTCCGGCTTTTATACGTGCACCAGACTTAAGAAACG